GAGAGAGAGAGAGAGAGAGAGAGAGAGAGAGAGAGAGAGAGAGAGAGAGAGAGAGAGAGAGAGTTGATTTCCGGCTGTATGACGCCTAGGACTTACACTTGACATCTTGGTGGAGACAATTGTTGGATATTGTTGGGGGAGACTATCGGTAGCTATTTCGAGCTACTCTTCTGTCTTCTCCTCGTTTCTTCTTCCATCTTCATCTCTTCCCAACCTCCATTATCCATGGTTCTTCTTTCCATGTGTACGCGAGCAAGGAGGGATCTTTCGTCCATGGATGTACCCCCTCCGTGCAGCTCTATATCTGTGTGCAGAGTCCTGAGTCTGTTTGAGTCTTCTGCTATGCTACATTGCCCTACATTGCTTTGTTTCGATTTGTGTTGCTGCATCTCTGTTCGCATTGGTATTTCTGAGTCTTTCCCTTCACGTTGGTGACCTTTTGGGTCTCCGCATTGCCTCTCTGCTGATAGGCATTCATCACGCAATGTCCTAGAGCCAAGTAGAATCAATCTTACCGGGGCTCCTCTGTCCCCAGCAATCTTTGCAAGATCGTCCATTCCCTTGGCTGGTCATTTGCAGGATGAGAAATCGGAATCTCTCTCTCCCTCTCTCTTTTTTTTCCAGTTTACTCAAATTTCCTCCTCGTCTACTTATTTTCATCATGTATTTCTAAAATTTCTAAAGAATAAAGAATGAACACTCTTGTTGTCAGAGAGGCAAACTACAATCAATGTCAACAGAATCCCCTTTCTCTTTTCCCAATCAGGATCCTCTTTTCCTGCCAACTCTGGCAGGATCGCTTGCTCCCTTCTCTGTGGTTTTGCAGGTTGCGATGAGAAAAAAAAGAGCAACCTTAAAAAAGGTATTAAGTACTACCAACCTCGACAGAATCCTCTTTCCCTGCCAATACTTGCAGGATCATTTGCTCCCTTGTCTGTGTGTTTGCAGGATGATAGATGGATGGGGACACTGTGAATCGTTCCCCTGAAGTTCTTCTAATTCCTCACCCTCCCTCCTTTCCCCCCCTTCTCCCCCTTCCCCACCTTCTTCCGCTTCCCCCACTTCCCCCCCTACCCCCCTTACTCATCTTCAGAAGAAATCCCCTGCACAGTCCTGCTTGTATTCTAATTATGCCTTTGCTTTTTTGGTGTGAGACTCAATCAACTATTCACTGTAGTCAGTCCATTCTGAATATTCTCATATGGGTGTGGTGCATCTTCACTTGGGGTTCATTTAGGGGTCTACTGTCCACGGGTAACGTACATAATATGCTGCCAGGTTTACAATATCGGTAGACAATGGATCCCTTTTTGAATCCCTAAATGAACCCCTAAATGTACATTAGGCAAATGGGCTTACATTATGGGGTGGGGATGAAGGGCTTAGACCCTAGAGTTCTTAAAGCACCAGTACATGCCAGCTAGCGACCGCGGGCCCCTTTCGGAGGCCGCCCACCGCCGATTCCTTTTATCTACGCCGCTCGGCCTCCTAAATTTTCGTACAGGCTCAGAACAGGTTCTCCAGTTGCCTGGGGCCATGTACTGGTGGTTCAAGGACAACAGTTTGCAACTTTGCAGTATAGGGTCTAGTTTTTTTTTTTTTTTTTTTAACAGGCCGTTGTGAAATCTCCGCCAACGAGGCCTTTTTTTCCTTAAAAAAAAAAAGAAGAAGAAATACAGCTGTCTTCTTCTCATATATGGGGGACAAGCTGTATTTTTGCTACCCTATTTTCTTTTCTTAATCTTGTATCTGCCTCCCCGTAGCTACCTACCTAATGGGTTACCTCTAGCCCAGAAGAAGCAGTTTCTGCATTCAGGAGCCAGCCTTAAATGTACCAATTATGCCCAAGCTATCCTAAGTTTATGGGTCTATTCCTACCTCACTCTGCACTGTGCGGCCAAGCGACCTAGCTCAGTTGGTTGAGCATGTAAGTGGTACACAGGAGGTTGTGGGTTCGATTCCCCACAACATCCATTCGATTCCCCACGACCCCCTGTGTGGCATACTTCGGGTTCACCGACTGAGAAAGTCCGCTTGTCCCTCCTCTGGCTTGTTGTGGTCGCTACCTCACTTCCCAGCCCTTGCCAGGTGTTAGGGGGGTCTAGGGTTTTGATTTGCCACTTTGGCGAATTCTTATGGATTATGGTTTAGGGCTTCGACACCCCTGTTATATTCAACAGGGGTTGGAGTCTTTGGACTCCGTATCTGCGACTCATTACTTAATGCTTACAGGTGGCCATGAGTGCCACTCAGCGAATGTCAGGAAAGGGGAATTTTAAACCGCCAGTACTTCAGAGGCACTTTTGTCTGACCCTGGGGATGCCCTGCGTGCGGAAAGCCGAACTGGCGCGGGCCATGGACGGAGTTCATCAACGGCCGCACAGGCCCCGAGATTTGCGGCGGGTGTACGACAAGGGCCCACGGCTGATATATGGGCCAATCACTGGTGGTTTAAGCAGACAGGGGAAACCTTCAACGTTCTTTTTCTTGTTCCATGCAACAGGGTTTGAAGTTTGAACGCTGAACCTGTGACTCGTTGTTCAACCTTCACAGGGACAACCATTGGCTGCCGCTGCCAGGAATCAACGCGGGTCTCGACCTTGGCCTCTACAACACCCTGGGCTTTCTACAAAAGAAAGAAAAGAAAAGAAAAGAAAAGAAAAGAAAAGAAAAAGGGCAATACCACTCTGAAAATTAGGACAGTAACACTCTGCAAATCAATGTCAGGAAAAGGGAATTTTGAGCAGAAGCTGCCGAAGGGAGAAAACCTTGAACTTTCTTGTTGCATTCCACTGAGTTTACAGGTGTCCGCGACAGTAGGGCTCGGCTAATTAATGTCAGCGAGTCGCTGAATGTATGTCACATTGTGTGCTATGGAAACCGATTGTGTGCAGTGTGATGAGCTCCTTACCGCCGATCAATCAGTCGGAGACGGCCAAATCGATTGTTCTGGCGTTAGCGACCATGGACTCTGCGTCCTTCTTTCGGGACGTTGTTCCTGGAGCAGATTCGCCGATTTCGGTAAGGACACCTCACCATGCCGCTCAACCATCCTTCTCCTTTCTTCTTGCCGTCCCTTTGTTGGGCTGAGGTCACTACCGTCTTCCTCGAACACAAAGCATGCTCATCCTGAAATTTATCAGACAAAGCTGTGCGCACGAGATGCACACCAACAGAAGTTGAAAATATTTTTTGGAGATTATGTAGTAGCACTGTAGCAGCCAAAATGCATCAGGGTTCAGGAATGGGTTCACCTACGAGGAATGATCCCATGATTTCACTTTTGCACAACATCACAACTTCACTCTTTATGGCACAAAAAGCTTTGCACACGAGATGCACACCAACACAACACAAGCTGATAACGTTTTTTGGAGATACCTTGAAGATTCAGGTCTCACACAACATCTCATGTACAGATGTGTGGCTATGGCCACCAACTCTCTCTCTCTCTCTCTCTCTCTCTCTCTCTCTCTCTCTCTCTCTCTCTCTCTCTCTCTCTC